TGCAAGATCTCATCTGAGGAATTTCAGATGAGAGTAACAACCAAATCTGGATTCCTGAAGTGAGTTTCAAAGCAGTTTAGCAAATTCTTTCACCCAAATCTGATTATGCAGCTTCAATCCTGTTGTCATCTGGAACTCTCTTAGATCATATCAGATCAGCACTTTTCAGTGGCTGGTCTGTTCATGTTCTGTAAATCAAATCACACTGGGATGGCCTCAGGCTGCCAGCTAGTCATTTTGGAATAATTCAGATCTATAGCTGTCAGGCATTGGGGATGGGACTGATGGGAACAACTGTATCCTAAATAGACAGTTTTCTTCTGGATGAATATGGTCTTGATAGAAGTACGCAGAAATTCTTAACCTAGGCGCTCTTCATCCCAGTCTGAAGGAGAATACAAAATAATGAGGAGAAAAATAAAGCTTTACTATTTTATAAAACTATGTTATGTTTAATAAAAATTAAAGTATTATGTTCCAATACCATTGACAGTATTTCATTTAATTTATTATTTCCTGACACTCTAAGGTCATGAATGCAGTTAAGTTAAAAAAATACTTTTAATTTTCATGAAAATGTACAGAATCTGTCAAAACATTAAGATGCCATTGTTAGTTCTTCAAAATATAGAAGGAATCTCTGCTGTAATTTATACTTCATCTGAACATGGAGCAATTATTCTAGACTATTCTTTCCTCGAAGCTGAAAAAGGTAACATTGTTATAAAGAAGTAAATGGCATTGGCCTAATGCCAAAGCACTTTGCAACAACAGCTTTATTTGAGTTGGAAATGTCCAGGTATCTGTATTAAGGTTTGGGTAATGGGCAGTGACACTTCAATTATAAGGTTAGATTTGTGACTTAAAGCTGTCTGAATACACATTTTTCTTTCTTTAATTCATGATACATCTCAAAGTGATTCGAACTTGGCAAATCCTTTTAATTGCTGCGATGCAGTAACATAAATTTTGTCTTTAATTCTTTGTAAAATGTCACTTGGAGGTGACTATCATGTCACTTTTACATCAGCTTTATCTGCCGGTGCTGCAAAGCCTGTTTCGTTTAGATTGGTACTTTGCTATAGCAAGAATTCAACAGTAAAGGCTACAAAATTAAAATTGGCATAATTGTTTAAAAACACAAATCACAGCAGTTAGTTCCAGTTACGAATTTTCAATATTTACCAGCAAGTGAATGTTCAGTGTATCCATAATCTCAGCAAAGGCTAACTTCAAAGATCAAAGTCCTCTACTGCACCTGTCCAGTCTATCTGCAGAAATTTGGGAGCAACCAAGTTCTTGAATTGTGTCTTTGTAGGCTCTGCCAGAGCCACTATTAACACTTAATTTACACAGACCTGAATTTGTCATTTTTTCGCTAAGTATAAATTCAATTAGGTAAATTAAACTACTGTAATGCTGTTAATTGTTTATTCATATTAATAGCATTGAATCCTAATACACAAATGTCACTTCACTGTTAGAAACAATAAAACCAAACTACCAGATTTGCTAACGCTGGCTGTTGGAAAGATATGGAGCTAAATGAATCCTCCTGCCTTCTAACCATAGCAAATTTCTTTATGTTGATGTTGCACCTCTGCACCAGACTTGTAAGTTAGGAGCTGACAGCACTAACTTGGCACTTAAATCAATATAGAAGCTGCTAAAATTGCATACAGTCTAGTAATCATAGGCCAAGAAAGCGCAAACATTTTTATAATTTCTAGAATCCCCCTCTCATTTTTGAGAGTGGGATTATTGAACAAGTGCTTCAGAATTATTTGAAAAGAAAATACAGGGATTGGACTTTTTGGTGCAGTTAAGTCAGATCCTACAAAATTTGCATTTTATTCATCCTGACTGCTTGGACATTGGTCTGAGTTCCATTTCTGATATTGCTGTATATTAATGATAGTATATACTGCCTCAGAGCAGCATTTAGTCTGAAATCATCTTCAGTTAGTTGAGCATGGCTGAGGGATGCCGCTGCCTTCAGTCACCCCAATCACCCCATTCCCGATGGCCTTACTAAAGTCACCTGATATGGACATCAACCTGAAGACAGCTGCAGGTGAGTCTACTGGTCTGGAATTCATCTGCTTCATGGAGGCATAACAATACCAGCTGCTCACCTAAAGAATTGGAATGAGACTCCAGGTCCAATTTAATGTTGACCTTAGGCCTTTTAGTTGAATCAGGTATATTATTAATTGTGTATCTAATAATGGACCATAACCAATTTCTGCACACTTATTTTATTCTCTTTTTAATCCATTTTGTCTGTTAGCTAGAAATAACACAGAACTGAGATACTTGTAAAGCCTAACATGACCATAATGCTCTTGTTAATCAGTACCTGTCAGATTGAAAGGCACCTCTGTACTGATGAGAAGATAAGTGATGGAATTAATTTGAAAGAACCTATTATGCATCACCACTTCTAAACATATCTTCCAACAATCAATAAAAGAGCAAGATATTTCACAACAGTAGATCTGAATATTTTAACATGTATAGGAATGTTGAACAAGAGATGTGTGGATAACTGTGGCATTGGACTGTAGACCATTGAGTGTTTACCCTTGAACTTTGTTTAAATTAAGGATGCTAGTGGATAACTTGGGCCAGTTTCTTGGTTGGCTCCTTGTATGGATGGTTTTGTAAAGTAGAGTTCCCATTCTCGGGGGAGAAATCACTGACCAAGAGACTTATACATCTTTATCGTATACAGCAAATTGCATTGATGTCATGATGGAGGCAATGGCTTGGGCAATTTTGGCTCCCCTCTATAGGCGAATAATAGAATGATTTAAAAGAGTGTGTGATGTGACTGTATTTCTAAATGAGCATGTATACATTGAATGGAAAGCATATTCAAACATGTATAGAACACACTTACTTTACAAAAATTCAAAGCAAAATAGTGCAAAAGCTCCGTCTTTTCAAGAAAGAAATGTTTGCTCCATATGAATTGGTTTGATGGTGATATTGTCCAGTATGCATGTTTATATAAACTAGACACATGAAAGTGCAAGAATTTACCTTAATCAAGCAGATTCTTAAAGGCAAATGCAGTTTTAGTTTCTGCTAAAAAAAACTTTAATTCAATTACATTTTGATCATTGTTTTATTATATCGTCTTCTTTGTGCATTAGCTGTGTTGTGAGTTATCTGCCTCTTCTTGAATTTGAATGTTTCTTTTTGAATCCTTTATTATTCCTGGTTGCTGCTGTTATTTAAAACTCATCACACAGTGTTCTGGATGAGTATTCCTTTGATGATTTCAAATACACTGCTTGAATTAGATGAGAAAGAAAAGTTTCTGCAACTGTAACAACTCCGGAGGCATTGGATCTACACCTTCTGCTGTCCTGGGACCAACATTTTATAGATCATTTCACAGCCATTCCAACATGTCAGAGGCAACCTTATTTTTCACTTCTGCCTTATCAGAGCAGCTGTCACGTGGCCAATACGTCTGCTGTAAAATAATCAGCATTTTGATTATCATAAGCTGTTCCTGTGGAAGACATGAAGATTTTAACCTAGCCCATACTTTCAGGCTGCAGTACTGACCCGCAGAGAGGAAGTGAAGAAATGGAGTACAGTGACTTTTAGTACAAAGGCACCTTCAGTGGACACGCAGCCTTTTTTCGGTAGATAGAATTCGCTTGAATCTTAAAGTTGGCACCAATATAGGCATCAGGAGCCTTAAATCAACTGATAGCTTGAAGGAGCAGAAAGGATTTGCATCAGCTGGTATCAGATCATAGAAAACACATTTATGGAAATCAGTGCAGGGCCAGGTAAAGAAATTAAGTGTCCTGATCCCTTTCATGTTTCTAGGTCCCCTATTCGCCCCCATTTACCTTCTCACAGCTTCTATCGAGTGTCTTTGTGCTGCGTTTTGTGGTCAAAAGGAGGCCATTCAGCCCATCAAAGGGTCTTTCAAAGAGAAATCTATTTAGTCCCCTGTCCCCCACCTGACCCATTCAGGGAGCTGGCTTAAAGATCATGCCACCTAGGCAAATCTTTGAGTAAAAGGCCTATTCAGATTACATTCAGTCATTACATTCAGAGGAACACAAATACCCTCTACATAATGCCCCTCATCACCCCCTCCTCCAACCCCGACTGAGTTTCACAGCTGTGAAATCTGCAATCTGAGCTGGCCCATCCCCTGCTTTGATAATGAAGGAAAATTGGCATTTTAAACATGATCCTACGATTATGTGAAATAAAGTTAATTTCAGAAGCTGGAAATTTTACATTCACCATAGTTGGTTATTTGTACTATTCTAATGAATCAATTTTTCAGTCTCTATAACTCTCCCCTTCTCTTACACAGCTATCTTTGATGGCTAGTTCTTTGATGTCTGTTCTCCAACTAAATACAAATTTGATTCGAGGATAGAATTCCTATTTACCAAATCATATTCATATAGTGAATTTTGGCCTGGGTATAATATTTAAATGGACAATCCTAATTTAAGTGCGTTTATGTTCACAATCCTCACTGACCTGAATATTGCCAGATTAATGCTCAATTTTACAGTGACAATTTTGGCAAACAATGTGCAAAAATAGATCTCTAAGGAGTTCTGTGTGCTTCATGATGCATCTGTATTAAAGCTTCCCATTATCTATTTTGGAAATGCAAGTATAGACATTCTTATAATGGTAGGTAATACTGGTTACCACTCCATTTGGTTTTGGGTTACTGATCAGGGTCAAATTAGTACAATGAAATCGTAGTAGACATACACATTTACCAGGATTGGTTGTTTTTAATGAATCATATGTGGGATTATCTTATTATGAAAATGTGAAGACTTCAACTTTAAAGCTTAAAACTGAATCACTACAAAAAGTGTGAGCATTTAATTTCACCTTAACATTTGCTCGAAAACAGTTACACATTTGTGTTTCAATAAATGTACGCTCAGGTGGATACAACCATTTTCAGATAATGTTTCTGTCTTTTTATGTTCTTAAAGATACAGGTGCTCCGGCAGATCCCATAGCTCCAGTTATAATTATCCCGCCAAAAAATACAAGTGTAATCTTCGGGTTCCCTGAGGTTACAATGGAATGTGTGGCCAATGCCAGGTCAGTATTTCAAATTCTCACCATCCTCCATTTTGAGTGAAAATAATTGTTGAAAGCACTTTTCCATCAATCTCTTTTTTGAAAAACAGAAATTGTTGATTTAAAAGAAAGCTTTGGAGATTTGGATGTTTAGCGAAATGGCAGCAATTCCACAGTTATTCCAATTACAGTGTTTTTGAACAGCTTCAAATAATCAGCCGTAGATGGCATCTTTGAAAATTGTGAAGCTATTATACAGACACAATGCAGTTTTATCTTTTTAAATAGTTTTCAAAAACATTATTAGCTTCTTTTGGAAGCACTGATGAGATTAGTACCTTTGAGGGAAAGTGTAAGTTCTACTTGAATGTGGTCTGGATACAAAAGATAGTAAACACGTTTGGCTGACTTCCAAAAGGGTGTTAGAAAAACAGTGACAAAGGATTTCTGACCATCTTTCAAATCGTCACTCTTTCATGTGTGATGCTACAATATTGCGCACAAACTCCAAGTATCAAATCAGAGCTGGTAGTACTATAAATCACTGCAGTAGGTGGGAATAGGAGCACACTGTTTCTCTGCAAACTGCACTCACAGGCTGATGGGTTTCTTGCTGCTGTATAAATGAAGTCATTCATTTTGGGAGAAATCTGAAAAATGGGAACAAAATCCCTGTGTCTGTGACTGCAATCAAATAGCATAGAAGCTTTAAGAGTTGTGGATTTATGGGAACTATTAAAAAAAAAATGACACAAATCCACTAGGAAAAGAATGAAAGAGAAGATATCACTGTTTGTGGAGCTTGCTAGGCACCACCACATTTCTGTCAAGATCTGATTTCTCAGTCCAGGAGTTCCCTTTGAGGATCAACACATACCAAAAGCGCTAGTGTGGTGAGCACAACTTTTAATTCATTAGTTTAAATCAGCTAGACCTGCTGAGTTTCTCATGCAATTTCATGTTTTTATGTGTGGCAAGCTAGATCTGGTATTATGCAATGAAATAGAATTAATGAACGGTCTCATAATGAAAGTGCTCCTAGGTCACAATGACTATAATTTGATGGAATTTTACATTCAGTTTGAGGGAGAGAACAGTGGATCCAAGGCGAGTATTTTAAACTTAAATAAAGGTCATTAAAAGGGCATAAAAGCAGAACTAGCTGAAGTGAAGCGGCAAATTAGGTTGGGGGTTATATCATAGAATCCCTACAGTGTGGAAACAGGCCCTTCAGCCCAACAAGTCCATGCCGACCCTCAGAGCATCCCATCCAGAGGTTATGTCAATGGAGATGCTGTGCGAAACATTTAAAGAAGTATTTCAGAATACAGACAATAGATAAATTTGAACAAGAAAGAAAAGCTCCAAAGGAAGCACTCACCAACCTTTGTCAATTAAAAACAAAATTAAAAATAATATCAAACTTTAAGAAAAAGTATTTAAATAAACAAAGATAGCTGTGAATAATATGGATAAAAAAGCAAAGAATGATTTTAAAATTAAAAATGAAGGAAAATTAGAGTATGAGAGAGAATTAGAAATATAAAACAGGCATTTTTATAAATATTTAATATAGAAAAGCATTAACAAAAGTGAATATTGATCATTTGAAAGTAAGTCTGCAGAGTTAATAATGAAAATTAAAGAGAATGCAAGCAAATTGAGTGGGTATTTTGCATCAGTTTTCATTATAGAAGATACAAGTAATATCCAAGGAAGTGGGATCAAGAAAATTGTTGGAGCTGCAGCTGACAAAAAGCGTAATACTGAAGATATTCATCCTAGTATCATGAAAGCAATGGCTAGTGCGATAATTAATACATTGGTTTTAATGTTTTAAAGTTCCCTGGCTTCGAGGTAGATTGTACTAGATTGGAAGTGTATCTCTTTTATTCGAATAAGGAGGGAAACAGAAAACAGATAATAGTTTAACAAGTGTTCAAAGGAAGATATTAGAAGATAATATTGAACACGTTGTAATAGGACACTTAGAAAAATTGAAGATACTCAAGCATTGTCAATATGGTTTTTGAAAGGAAATCATGTTTAACCAATTTATTTGAGTTCTTTGAGGAAGTAACATATGCTGTGGATAAAGGAGAATTGGTAGATGTAATGTACTTCAATTTCCAGAAGGCACTCGATAATGTACCATATGAAATGTTATCGCAAAAAACAAAAGCCCACACTGGCAGGAATACAACATTGATTAGCGAACAGGAAACAGAGAGTAGACATAGATGTGTAATTTTCTGGTTGTCAAAATGTAATGAGTTGTCTGCACCAATGCTGGGACTTCAACCTTTCGCAATTCATATAAATGGCTTGGACGAAGGGATTGAAGGTATAATTTGCTAAATATGATGTTGACACCAAGATAGATAAGAAAGTATGTTGTCAAGAGGACACGATGATATAATAAGATAAATGAGTGAGCAATAACTGAGAAAATTGAGTATAATGTGGGGCAAAGTAGAACTATCCATTTCAGCAAGCAGCATAAAAAGCATATTTAAAAAGCATAAATAGTGAAAAATTGCAGAGATCTGAGACATGGAGGAATCCGGTGTCTTTGTGAATAAATTGTAATTACTCTGCTAGTTCAGAATGTAATTAGGACAGATAATAGAATCTGATTGTTTATTGCGAGTAGTATGGAATATAAATGTAAGGATGTTATGCTTCATTTGCACAGGGCATCAGTGAGACCACGTCTAGAACAATGTGTACATTCAGGATTGGATTTCTTATTTAAGGAAGGCTGTAAATGCATTGCAAAGAAGTCAGAGCATGTTTACTAGACTAATACCTGGAAAGGGCAGGTTGTCTTATGAGGAAAGGTTAGACAGCTAGCTTGCATGCACTTGAGTTTAGAAGGTTTAATGCTGATTAAAACATATAAAACCATGAGGCATCTTGATAAGGGTGTTTCCTATTGTGAGAGAGTCTAGAAGAAGAGATCACTGTTTCAAAATAAACAGTCTCTCATTTAAGACAGAGAAAGATTTTTTTTCTCACAGAGGATTGAGAGTCTTTGAAACTTTCTTCCACAGAAGGCAGTTGAAGTAAAATCTTTGAATATTTTTAAGTCAGAAGTATATAGATTTTTAATAAACATGAGGGTAAAAGGTTAACAGGGGGCTTATCTGGAGCAGCTCAGCTACAATCTTATTCAGTCGCAGTCCAGACTCAAGGAGCAGAATGGTCTACTCCTAAAAATTCCATATGCATTTGTATGTTCATATGCATGTTAATAATGATAGCCCATGGAGTGATGTCAACAAAGAGCTATGGTAACTGCTAGAACAGATTCCTTTCATCTCTCACTTAACCTAAGAAGGCTGCTTCTTTTAATTTTCAAAATGATGAGGATTTAAATAACTTCACTGCTTGACAATTCCTCAGACCTGACCTGTCCTTTCCATATCCTCCATAAATTAGTGACTACACTCCAGGATGAAACCTTTGTTCGAGTAAAAAGTGAATCTTTTTGAACTCACCCAGCTGACATTGGGTGTGTGATATTGTCTTGTGTGAGTTTGTACCTCCTCCTTTCCTTTCTGGCACAACAGAGATCTGTTGGAGATAGCAAGAACTGCAGATGCTGTAGTCAGAGATAGCTAAGTGTGGAGCTGGAGGAATTCAGCAGGCCATGCAGCATCAGAGGAGCAGGAAAGTTGATGTTTTGGGACCCGAAACATCAACTTTCCTGCTCCTCTGATGCTGCCTGGCCTGCTGAATTCCTCCAGCTCCACACTTAGAGATCTGTTGGAAATGGGGTCAGCACCTGGGAATCCTGAAGAAATCAGGCCAAGTACAGTTGCTCATTTAATTCACATGTCAGATCTTAAGCTTTTCCCAGTGTTTTCAATGAAGGATTGTAAAGTTACTATAATGTCCAGGGAAGATGTTAGAATTCATATTAAAATCTTTTGAAGAAAAATCACAGAATTATATGGAATATACAACATTTAGCTCCAGTGGTTCATGCACTAGTTTAGTTCAACATCAGCTTTCTTTTCTGACACAATCAGCATAACCTTCTATTCCTTTCTGCCACCTGTGCTTATCTTCTTAATATTATTCACCTCAATACTCCTTGTGGTATAACACTCTGCCCTCTAAATACCCTCTTGATAAAACATACAGCCCCTAGTTGTGCCTTCTGACAAGTGGAAATATCTTTTGTGTCTACCCAATCACAACATTTCATTAGGTAAAATATCAGATCACCCCTCGGCCTTCTGTTTTCTATGTAAAAGATTCCAGCATTTGTAAAGAGAAATAACTGCTCATTTCTGGAATCTTTGTTGTTTTTTTTCTACAACTTCTTGAGTGCCTCTATGTCTTTTTCATGATATAGAGGCAAGAGCTTTGCACCTGAAACGACACACCTATCACCAAGAAAATACTGTTTAAGCCAGAATGCGATTCATTAAAATACTGTCTGCAGACATTTCTGTCCTTTTGTCTACTATTTGAACAATTGGGTAGATATCTGTTTAGGCTTTGCAAGCATTAACAGAGAAATTTTATTAATCTTTCCATAGAAACTCGCACTAAAAAGGTAGCAAGTACTTCATATTTGACTAATAATACTGATCCTACACATCCCTCCAGCTACATTTTCAGATGCATTATTAACCCAAATTAAGAGGTACTTGAAACTGTTTAAGGCAAGGAGCAGCAATTAAATTGCTTTCAATTAGTTTAACAAAGATGCACTTCATCAGCACAGTCAGTTTTCTGTCATGCCACTCAAAAGCCAAAATATTAATAAATTCATTGATTCGCTGTTGTACAATAAATTGATATCAACTACCAATTGTATATAAACACCATATTCTGAACTTGAACACAGCAATGTCTGAATTTATACATGCTGCTTTGGGAATTACAGCTTCATTTTATAGAACACCATTGCTTGAGATGCTTTCAGATATTTTGGATAACCCTCTTTCCTGCCTAGTCCTTGAGCACAACACTTTGCTCCCATTACCCAGAGAAGGAATTACCTTTTG